ATTATGTCTATGCAATACACACATAGATCCCTGGCGGCTATGACCAGATTAGAGATTGCCTAAATGTTGCCCCTTAAATAATGACAGTAGCGATCAAAAGAAATCAAAAAACTTCAATCATCCATCTTCTAAAATTGATCTAAAATTGTCTATTCAAGATCATTATGTTGTACATCCAATCCAGCCATCCGACCATCATCACGTGAAGACCAATAGAAGCAGAAATGTTTGCATTTCGAACTATGTAGGGGCATTCAAATAACATTATTATATGAGATAATTTTATCATTTTCCCTACATCTTACAATATTATAATATTAATAACGGCCTGCAGCCTAGTACCTATCTTTATTCTATGGCTAGAGACCTTTTATAAACTTATATAGGCTCTCTGGCTGTATCCTCACAACTGTAGTACCTAGTGTAGACGTGCTGGTGATAAACTTTTCTGCATAATCATAATGTGAGTTTACCCCACGTCACCACGAATAATAATAATATACATGTCTTAATCCGTGGTTTACATAGAATAGTTCTATATACTTATCTATGGTATAATTATTAGTTAGCACACTTTGTTTAATTTTCATAATTTTGTCAGATTTCATGTTTATAAATTAAAATATTAATATGGAGAAGAAATACTTAGGATGATGACAATGTGCTGGATAAAGCCCTCAAATCGGACACCGACATACTTAATTATTCGCAACAGGCAGAATCTGATTTGAAAAATCACGAGAACCTCGTTGTGAACAAATAAACCCTCATAAAAATTTAATTTGACTTCCTTAAAGACTTTTCTTTTTGATAAAGGTAGATAATCTTATAAAGAATCTTGTATTACATTTTAAAATCTTAGATTTAAAAAGAAAAATTTTTTCGAATTCTTTGCTCAAAATAATTTTCTAATTTTCGTGATTTTTCCATATTTTGTCAATTTTTGAACTTTAAATGCTTATAAAAAAAAACTGTGACAAAGGATTTTTAATTTTTTTTCATATGCCTTTGAAACAATATACTAGGAGCCTTCTATTAAATTTTTAAGCTTTATTAACCAACAAATAAAATGTATTGATATTTTTAGAAAAAAAAATGAAAATGTCCCTAAACAGTTCAAAATAAATCAAAATATTTTGAAAATATTATCGTGTATAGAAAATGCAAATATAAACAACCAGTGAAAATTGCATGTATCTACGGTCATTTGTTTTAAAGTTACACCAAAAACCAAATTCAATTTTGTGAAAAATCGATTTTGCTTAAAAATTCCCGTTTTTCCTTAATTTTTCTTTTGTTTTTCTTGGCGCTTTTGAAAATTACAGGGAATTTTAAATTTTGTATAATGCACAAACGATATTCACTTTCCGAGATACTGAAGTTGAAAATCGAAGCATTATTTCGACTACTTATCGTGTACACAGACACAAATAAAAAAAAAAATTAAAATTAAAAATTCCACTCAGAATCTAAAAAACCTAGAATAACTATTTTAGTTATTTTGTTGTGTTTGTATAATATTATTCGTGGGAACTCGAAATCGAAATTTCTAAAGTACACTATTATATATCTATGATAGTATCAGGGTTTGTTGTTGATGTATAACGCGTTATAAGTACCTAATGGATATTGTGATATGATTAATTTGGAATTTATTATAGGTCAATTTTTTTAATACCATTGATAAGTATATAATATGTCTTATGCCTAGACTGACATACCGCCTCCGCTCAGAATCGTTTTTCTTATACAATGATATTATATCATTGAATTCAAATTTTATACTATCCATTAAACAGTGACTCACTTGTAACCTGCTGTACAGCGGAGTACCTTTTTAATATTTTAATATATTATAATTTATTTATGTTATTTAATTAGTATTATCTTTTTATTGTCCTTAATTAAGGAACTTTCCTAGACCGAGTACCTAACTAAATTTTATTTATATTTCATGAAATAATGTACAAATATTTTATGAGTTTTGAGATAGGTAGTTAACACTTTTAACATATAAATATTTTTTTTATAATTATCAACATTCCCTCACTCTGTAGATTTTTTCTAGAAAATTTTAGATTCTGAGTGAAACGATGAATGTATTGATTTTACAATGATGTGTGTTTTTTTGTGACTGTGTACACGATAAGTAGTCGAAATAATGCTTCGATTTTCAACTTCAGTATCTTGTTCGATTGGAAAGTGAATATCGTTGGTGCATTGGGGAGGTCAAAATTTAAAATTCCCAGTACTTTTCAAAAGCGTAAAGAAAAATTAAGGAAAAACTGGAATTTTTACGCAAAATCGATTTTTCAGAAAATTGAATTTGGTTTTTGGTGTAACTTTAAAACAAATGACCGTAGATACATGACATTTTCAGTGGTTGTTTATATTTGCATTTTCTATAGGTATGTATTTTTAATATTTTTTAACTGATATTGTAACAATATATCAGGAGCCTTGTATTAAATTTTTACACTTTTTGGCCCAACAGATAAAACTTTATTGATATTCATAGAAAAAAAAAATTGAAAAATGAAAATGTCCGTAAACAGCTCAAAAAGAGTCAAAATATTTTCACAATTGTATGGTGTATAGAAAATGCTAATTTAAAACATTCAGTGAAATTTTCATGTATCCACAGTTATTCGTTTTTGAATTACAACAAAATAAGGAAATCGCTACATGAGAAATCAAGTGAACATCCAATGTTGTAAAAATATAAACTTCTTACACTCCTAAAAATTTAATTTGACTTTCTTATAGATATTTTTTTTTTTTTTGATAAAGGTTATCTTTTATTACATTTTAAAATCTTAGATTTAAAAAGAAAATGTAGGAATTACTAACTCAAAATAATTCCTACATTTCCGTGATTTTTACGCTTTTTGTCAAAATTCGAACTTTAATATTGCTTTTTAAAAAAATTGTGACTACGGATTTTTAATATTTTTCACCTGTCTTTAAAACAATATAGTATTATATAGCCTTCTATCAACCTAACCTACCAGAAAAGATGCTGTTGAAGAAAATCGATGGATTTTTACTGTCTCAAAAAGTGATTACAGACACAAACAAAACATTTATTTTTAAAAAAACCGGAAAGTTGTTATACCAGATCCAAAATTGGTCATATTAACCGGTTTCAAGCCCTCAACTATTATTTGATGAAATTATATCGAGTAAAGTAATTTATGTATCTTTTATAAGTTATAGCTTATTTACGAGGAACCTTGTTTAACATATTCAATCCTTAGCTATAAGAGTTAAATATTTTATAACTATATTTTAACTACAAAATAATTATTAAATTTTGTGAAATTTCAAACTTAAAATGCTTATGAAAAAAATTGTGCCATTGAAATTTTAATATTTTTCAACTGCTATTGTAACGATACATCAGGAGCTTTGTATTACATTTTCACGAATTATTACCCAACAAATAACATTTTATTGACGATTATAGAAAATAAAAATTTAAAACTGACTATGTCTGTAATTTGTAAACAGCTCAAAAAGAGTCAAAATATTTAGAAAATGTTTTGGTGTATAGAAAATGAAAATATAAACATTCAGTGAAATTTTAATGTATCTACAGTTATTCGTTTTTGAATTCCAACAAAATAACAAAATCGCTACATGAGAAATCGAGTGAACATCCCCCATGTTATCCAAAAATATGAACTTCCAACGATCATGAAAATTTAATTTGATTGTAGAAATTTTTTTTTTTTTTGTTAAAGGTATACAAACTTAAGAGGAATCTTGTATTACATTTAATATAACCATAAACAAAAACTGAGTTTTTTTAAAAATATTTTTTGGTTACAGAGCTATAATGGTTGAATAATCATTTTTCAACTTGATTAAATTTTAAATAAATAAAAATGTTGTACCTATCTTTTAAGATACTTAGGTACTTAATGAGTAAAAAAATATTAGTTATAATTTTATTACCTACTATGTTAAATATTTATTTATATGATAACAGAATAGTACTTAAATATATAACTTTTCTTTAATTATGTATCTTGTAGTTGTGTCCTATTGGATGCACGGGAATCTTCTTTACCAGGGGGTGGCCGGTTCGAATCATTGAATTGACCATTAAAATTTTGCATTTTTCTTCAGATGTTATAACTCATTCCGCGGTCCTAACAGGACCGCTCGGCGGCGAAATGATTCATTACTAAATAAATAAACCAGAAAAAGTGCATTTGGGTCTTGGGTGTTCGATGAATCGCTGAAACTTGTACGCGGTTGACAGCCACACATTAATGTGTCCTACTCGACACTCGCGGATTTAGCAGCGTTGACTACGGACGAAATAATTTCAATCTCTGACTATTATGTACAATAACTCTGACCGAATCGCCAATTCAGTATCAGACGAGTAACCACCGAGCACAGACGTGACTTGTTTCATAAGAAACTCGCGATCGAACGCAACACCAAACCATAACTAAAAGTACCACCTTAATATAGAATCATAGAATCATAGAAATATAATCACAAGCGACTACCGAGAACATATCCAAAAACATCGTCTTTATAGACCACACATTTTCATGACTATATATAGTACATCGTAGTGCTATAACACCGAAGTCCGAAATATAAACCAGCGAAGTGTACGAACTCAATGACCGCCGAGTAGCCAGGAAGTCGTAATATAGAAACGTTATAGTGTTCATAGTAATATAGTAAATTATCAAATCAACGACCGAATTGACAGTTCAGTATCAGACGAGTAACCACCGAGCACAGGCGTGACTTGATTCATAAGAAACAACTTGCGATCGAACGCAACACCAAACCATAACTAAAAGTACCACCTTAATATAGAATCATAGAATCATAGAAATATAATCACAAGCGACTACCGAGAACATATCCAAAAACATCGTCTTTATAGACCACACATTTTCACGACTATATAATATAGTACATCGTAGTGTCATAACACCGAAGTCAACAACAACAACTTAACAATCGCCGAAATGCCAAACTCTGGAAATAACGCAATGCCCGAAAGAAACGTCGATCAATGGTATCTACTCCTTGCGATATTAATCGGAGTTATAAGTGGGGTGGCAGTATGTTATTGTAGTAGGTACACAGTGGTATTGGAACAGTTAAACCTCGAGGATTTTCTTGAATTCGTCAAGATGGCAATAGATGTGGCGATAGATATTATACGAATCTACGAACAGTACCTGATTGTATCAGAAGATGGAGTCTTGGTGGTGAATTTACTTGAATTCATAAAGATGATAATAGTTGTAGCAATTGATATTTTACGTGGCATAGCAAGATAACACTAACGGTAGGTACCGTATATGTGCTATTGGCCGAAAAACTAATATGTGGAGAGTATTGTCCATGTTTAACAAATTTGTAAATTTTTTTTCTCCCAAATGTGGAGTGGAAAGTGCGATGACAAAAATATACTAAATTCTGTTTAATTATAAACTATCGAAGTGTACGGACTCAATGACCGCCGAGTAGCCAGGAAGTCGTAATACAGGAACGTTATAGTGTTCATAGTAATATAGTATATTATCAAATCAACGACCGAATTGACAGTTCAGTATCAGGCGAGCAAGCAACGTGCACAGACGTGACTTGATTAATAAGAAACTCGCGATCGAACGAAACACCAAACCATAACTAAAAGTACCACCTTAATATAGAATCATAGAATCATAGAAATATAATCACAAGCGACTACCGAGAACATATCCAAAAACATCGTCTTTATAGACCACACATTTTCATGACTATATATAGTACATCGTAGTGCTATAACACCGAAGTCCGAAATATAAACCAGCGAAGTGTACGAACTCAATGACCGCCGAGTAGCCAGGAAGTCGTAATATAGGAACGTTATAGTGTTCATAGTAATATAGTAAATTATCAAATCAACGACCGAATTGACAGTTCAGTATCAGACGAGTAACCACCGAGCACAGGCGTGACTTGATTCATAAGAAACAACTTGCGATCGAACGCAACACCAAACCATAACTAAAAGTACCACCTTAATATAGAATCATAGAATCATAGAAATATAATCACAAGCGACTACCGAGAACATATCCAAAAACATCGTCTTTATAGACCACACATTTTCATGACTATATATAGTACATCGTAGTGCTATAACACCGAAGTCCGAAATATAAACCAGTGAAGTGTACGAACTCAATGACCGCCGAGTAGCCAGGAAGTCGTAATATAGGAACGTTATAGTGTTCATAGTAATATAGTAAATTATCAAATCAACGACCGAATTGACAGTTCAGTATCAGGCGAGCAAGCAACGTGCACGGACGTGACTTGATTAATAAGAAACTCGCGATCGAACGAAACACCAAACCATAACTAAAAGTACCACCTTAATATAGAATCATAGAATCATAGAAATATAATCACAAGCGACTACCGAGAACATATCCAAAAACATCGTCTTTATAGACCACACATTTTCATGACTATATATAGTACATCGTAGTGCTATAACACCGAAGTCCGCGGCGAAATATAAACCAGCGAAGTGTACGGACTCAATGATCGCCGAGTAGCCAGGAAGTCGTAATACAGGAACGTTATAGTGTTCATAGTAATATAGTATATTATCAAATCAACGACCGAATTGACAGTTCAGTATCAGGCGAGCAAGCAACGTGCACAGACGTGACTTCATTAAGAAGAAACTCGCGTTACCAAAATAATTTCGGTCTTAATAAAGACAAGTTTATATAGTTATCAATTAATATAGAACAAATCATAATGTTCAACAACAACTTAACAATCACGGAAATGCCAAAGTTTGGAAATACCGTAATGCCCGAGAGAAACCTCGAGGATTGGTTTCTACTCCTTTCGATAGTCATTGGAATTATAAGTGGAGTGGCACAGTTTTACGATCAATTCCGTGTGGTATTGGCCGAGGGAAACCTCGAGGATTGGCTTCAACTCGCTATGACATTAATAGATAAAGCGATTGAAATTAAACGTGGTGTGGCACAATTGTACGATCATTACCATGTGGTACTAGCTGAGGGAAACCTTGAGGATTGGCTTCAACTCGTAAAGATGGCAATAGATGTGGCGATTGAGATTAAACGTGGTGTGGCACAATTGTACGATCAATACCGTTTAGTATTGGCTGAGGGAAACTTTGAGGATTGGCTTCAACTCGTCAAGATGGCAAAAGATGTAGTGATTGAAATTATACATGGCGCAGCAAGATTATACGAACAGTACCGTATATATGTGCCATTGGGCCGAATAACTAATATGTAGAGACAATATGTGGAGAGTTTTGTCCAATTTTAACAAATTTGTATTTTTTTTTTCTCCCAAATGTGGAGTATAAGGTGCGATGACAAAAATATACTAAATTCTGTTACCTTTTTACAAGACTGGACAAGTTGACTATTTTAAATGAATGTATTGATTTTACAATGATATGTATTTTTAAAATTTTTTTTTTTGTGTCTGTGTATACGATTACTGATAAGTGCTTCGATTTTCAACTTCAATATCTTGTTCGATGGGAAAGTGCAGAATCTTGTTGTTGCACTGAGAAGGTCAAAATCCCATACTCCCATTAGTGTTCAAAAGCGCCCAGAAAAACAAAAAAAAATTAAGGAAAACCCGGGAATTTTTACGCGAAATCAATATTTTGTTTATATTGGTATAGATACATGGAAATTTCACTGGTTGTTTATATTAGAATTTTACATACACAATAAAATATTTTGAATTGTTTGGAACTGCAGTTTTCAATTTCCAATTCTTTTAGTTATTATTTGTTGGGTAAAAAACCTTGAACATTCAATACAAAGCTCTTAAAAATATATTGTTAAAATTATATTTAAAAATATTAAAAATCCATAATCACAATTTATTTTTTGTACAAGCATTTAATGTCAAATCTTGATATAACAATTAAAATTTTTTGTTAAAAATTCATTAACATTTTTGTTTTTAAATCCAAGATTTGAAAATGTAATACAAGATTTCTCATAAGTTTGTCTACCTTTATTAAAAACAAAATATCTACAAGCAAATCAAATTACATTTTTATGAGCGTTGGAAGTTCATATTTTTACAACATTGGATGTTCACTCGATTTCTCATGTAGTGATTTTGTCAGGGCCGGTTTTAAGGGGGGGCACCGGTGGGCCATTGCCCAGGGGCGGCACACTTTGGGGGCGGCAAAATTATCTCAGATAAAATAAACAAAAAATTAATTTTTTTCGTAAAGAGAAAGATTTCTAAAAAATGATATATTTTATTATTATTTATTTTTTAAATTCACATATGCATACATTTTTTTTTTACCTATATTTTATCATTTTAAATAAAGAGAAATAAACGTTATTAACTAAGTAGGTAGGTACATAACATTATTAAATATTAGTGTGTTTATTTTTACTAGTAAACTGTAAAACTAGACGTATAGTATAACTGCGTTGGCCCGTATTGGCAAATCAGGATTATCGGTTGTACTTATTTACTGGCTACTAAAATACATTTGTGTCATTTCATATTATACAACTTGCTAAACTCTATATGTCAGTGACTACGTACTCCGTACCTACATAATTTAAATCTCAATAAGTGAACTAATATAATAGAAATAAGAGTTTACTTTTTTTTTAATTGTTATATAAAATAAAATATTATTATTATTATTATATTATTTATAATAATATTAAAACTTTCAACTTTATAATTGATATTGTAAGGTTGTGCCAGTTAAGGTAGGTACACTACAATTACACAGTTTAGGTTCACTTAAATTACATTGCAAATCTGCATACAATTATTGGATATATATTTTATATATTTATATATTTATACATTATACATATGAATTGAATGCAGTAATTTAGCCATAGTGGCAAGTAGGTAAATAATAATTAATAAGTAAGACTAGATAAGTTTAATTGTGTCATAACAATTTTTTAGTTGAAATTATACTTTAATGGAGCTAAAAAGAGTCAAAGCTAGTGGTGTATGCAATGGTAAGGAGGCAAAAAAAAAGAAGGAAAAACCTAATGAAGTTATAAGAAAAACAAACGAAATAAATACCATGTTTACTCTTAAGAGAGAAGAGCATAGTGAGAAAGTAGAAACCATAGTTTGGAATTCAATGTAAACACATATTTAGTGATTTGTGATTCTATAATAGAAGAATTAACAAGTCGAAAGTTAGCTTACGATAATGTCATAAGTCATAACAAAGTATAGTTTTTTTTTAATAGACTCACAAAGATATAACCATCAGAAGTACGTGTTTTAGCTGAACATTTGTACTCAATGTATACAAAAGATTTAGATGTGACATTTATTAACGAATGTGTTCATTTTCAAAGTTATATTCAAAGTATGAAAAATTCTCCATCAACTATAATTGATATGAGTTCTATGTTAAAAATAGAAGGATCAGAAGACATTCACCCGTGTGTTAGTATTGCTTTGCTTTACACATGTTTTTATGTACTCTCTGTTCAAACTGTACCGCTGAACAGTCATTTTCAACTTTACGCTGAAGAAAAACATACCTAAGGTCAACAATTTCTAAAGAGAGATTAAACTCACATGCAATATTAAATATTGAATCAGAAATAACAAAACAAATTAAATATGAAGATATTATAGATCATTTTGCTGATATTCAATCAAGAAAAAAATTGTAAAATAAACAATAAATATTATTATATTACTATATTATAGTACATATTATTAATTGTATATCATTCTTTATTATTTGAATCATGGAAGATTCTAGGTAGATAGTACCTAAGACCTAAGTTATAAACTAGTTACTTATGTTTTTTTTGTATAGTTTACCTACTATTAAAAATCTAATATTGGAATGCATAGGTACCTAGTTAAAATTGCTAAAAATTAACTGCAAATTAAATTTCAATGAGAAAGGGAAACATAAAAAATGAATTAATGTTATGCCCCCCCCCCAAAAAAAAAAATAAAATTTAGCCACCACTTCTATGGTATTAAAAAAAATGTGTTGGAAAGGGGCGCCATAAATATTGTGCCCGGGGGCGAAAAATCCCTAAATACGGCCCTGGATTTTGTTAATTTGTATGAATTCAAAAACGAACAACTGTAGATTCATTAAAATTTCACTGAATATTTATATTTTCATTTTCTATACACCATAACATTTTGAAAATATTTTGACTCTTTTTGAGCTTTTACAAATTACAGACATAGTCAGCTTTAAATTTTTTTTTCTATAATCGTCAATAAAATGTTATTTGTTCGGTAATAATGCGTGAAAATGTAATACAAAGCTCCTAATGTATTGTTACAATAGCAGTTGAAAAATATTAAAAATTCAATGGTATAATTTTTTTCATAAGCATTTAAAGTTTGATAATTTAAAATTTAATAATTATTTTATAGTTAAAAATTTATAAAATGTTCATCTTTTATAGCAAATGATTGAAAATGTAAAACAAGTTCCACTTAAATTGGTTATAATATATGAATTGCTTTATTCAAAATAATTTCATCAAATATAGGTACTTACCTAGCGTAATATCATAGGATGACTGATCAGTGATCAGTGACCGTCTTTGCTCAGTAGGTATACAATGATATTATATCATTGAATTCAAATTTAACACCATCCATTATAGTGACCCATTTGTGACCTATATTACAGCAGAGCGACACCCACTTGCCGAACTTTTTTCTATAAATATCAATACAATTTTACTTGTTGGGTCAAAAAGCGTGAAAATGTATGGGTTATACAATGCTCCTGATATATGCATTAAAAAGGGTTGTGATTTTATAGCACTTAAAATTACATAAATATGTGCTATAATATTACCTTAAATATCGCTAAATACGTGCTAAAAATATGCAAAAAAAAATAAAATTTAATAATTAACATAATGTTTTAATAAATTTTAAATTATCATAGGATAGGTTAGTTTAGGTTTATTTATAGGTGGTTACTTAAGATTTGAAATAATTTAGTCACTCTGTTCAAAATCCAAATGAATTGACTATACAAGATACAAGTATACAACGCATTCAACGCTCGTTCGTTGATAATCGGCGATTAATAATCGCAGTAGAAATCGACAAAAAAAAACCCAACAAAACCAGCAAATAAAAAAATTTGGGTAAGTGGATGTCGCTCTGCTGTACAGTAGGTTACAAGTGGGTCACTGCGTAATGGATGCTATTAAAATTGAATTCAATGATATAATATCATTGTATAAGAAAAACGATTCTGAGCGAAGACGGTATGTCAGTCTATAGGTTTAAGATAAATTATATACAAATCTATGGTATAAAAAAAAATTGACCTATAATAAATTCTAAATTAATCATATCACATTATCACAATATCCATTAGGTACTTATAACACGTTATACATCAACATCAATAACAAACCCTGATACTATCATTGATATATAATAATACACTTTAGAAGTTTCAAGTAGGTACCCACGAATAATATTATATAATCACAACAAAATAACTAGGTTTTTTAATATGAAATTTCGTCCAAATTTGAACATAAAATGACTATAAAAATAAACTGTGATTGTATATTTTTTAGATTTTTTTCGGTAAGATAATTAACTACTTACGTGGAATCTTGTTTTAAATTTTCAATCCTTAGCTATAAAAACTGAACATTTTATAACTTATTAATTACGATGATTAATAAATTTCGAGATTTTGAAAATTCTGTCAAAATTCGATGTTTAAATGCTTATAAAAAAAAATTGTGCCTATGTATTTTTAATATTTTTCAACTGATATTGTAACAATATATCAGGAGCCTTTTATTAAATTTTTACACTTTTTGGCCCAACAGATAAAACTTTATTGATATTTATAGAAAAAAAAACTAAAAAAAATTGAAAGCTGTAAATGTCCATAAACAGCTCAAAAAGAGTCAAAATATTTTAAAAATTGTATGGTGTATAGGAAATGCTAATATAAACATTCAGTGAAATTTTCATGTATCTACAGTTATTCGTTTTTGAATTACAACAAAATAAGGAAATCGCTACATGAGAAATCGAGTGAAAATCCAATGTTGTAAAAATTTGAATTTCAAACGCTCATAAAAATTTAATTTGACATTCCGGTAGAGATTTTTTTATTGATAAAGGTAGATAATCTTATAAGGAATCTTGTGTTTCATTTTCAAATCTTAGATTTAAAAAGAAAAATTTTTGCGAATTCTTAACTCAAAATAATTAGCTAATTTTCGTGATTTTTCCATATTTTGTCAATTTTT